TCTTGCTGGTTTATGTCTTCTACTAACTACTCTGAAGATAGGGTACACGGTATAATAACTACTGTCGGTCTTTTATTTGGTTACAAAAATTTGTTTTATTTTTTTCATAAAATAAATAAAAGGATGCCAGCTTTCTTCTTCATTGCGGCTTTGGCTAAGTCTACTAATGTAAGAAGATTAGGTAGGTTCTACTTTTCAGTGCCAGTATACTTCATTACTTTGTGTATAGAAAATCCAAGAATAATATAAAAGTTTTTCTAACAACTCTTTGATAAATCTGAATTACCTTAGGGCTACATTACAAGGGTTCCATGTGAACGTCTTAATAGAATTCTTCATGTTAACACTACGTAAAGAACAGGCAGGCATGATCTTCTGAGGAACATGTTCATTAAAATAGGCTCAGTTTTATTTATTTTTAGCTTCTGTGTTAAGGATTCCAAATTGCTGATGAGTCAGAAGTTCTTCTGTCGCGTATAAATGGATATAGTTTTATCATCACAACTGAAAATGTATTCAGTGGTCAGGGTGATGATCTATACTATTTATATACTAATTATGGTAAAAGAAACATATTTTCTTTCACTTTGCAAAATAATTCCTGAAATCATTATACCTGGCAAACCATTCTCCAAAATCCAAACACTTTATACTGTTTAACTCAGAATGGCCAAGTTGGTTATCTAGGGAAATACTCCGTGATTAATTTATTTTAATGACAACTACAAGAAGGCACAATGCTCAGAATAAGATGGAACATAGAGATTTATGAAGATGTTTCTACAGTAACTACAGGCAACACCTGCTCTGAAAAGTCTTTGTCTAAATTATATGGTCTGTGTCTTTGGTAATTAGTTTACTTCTCAAGTTTATCCAGAGCTGCTGTTGCTGCTCTTCTCCCCGCCCCCATTTCTTTCTTGTCCATCCCCTCTTCTTCCCTCTTTCCCATTCTTCTTTCCATCCTCCCTCCTCTTCCTCCTATTCCTTCTCCTTTCTTCTTCTTTTTCAGTGCTAGAGATTGAACCCAGGCCCTTCACACTGAGCTACACCTATAGCACTGTTTTTATTTTTTGAGGCAGAGTCTCAACAGTTCACTCTAGATTGCCTTGAACTTGCAATCCTCCTACCTCAACTTTCAAAATTAACACTTGAGGAAAATGCTGATTTTGTCAGGAGAGATTCCTGAAGACCTCCTTATGTGTTTCAGGACAAAACATTTGCTAGGATCTTTATTTTTCAAAACACTATGCTAATTTTTTTTTTTGGTACTGAGTATCGAGCTCAGGACCTAGTGCTTGCAAGGCAGGAACCACTGAGATAAATCCCCGGCCCCCAGTATGATAATTCTTATGTCTTAAATTGGTTTTCAAAGTATATAGAAGATCTACATTTAATGTAGTATACACTATAAACATGTACTAAACAAAAAATGCTCTGATTATTCTAAAGTTCCAGGTCCTTTGCATGTCCTTGTGAATTTTAAAATCAGCTTATCATTTTCTAAGAAACCTTCAAGAATTTAGACTGTGACAGTGTTGAATCTATAGATCAATTTGGAAAGAACAAATATCTAAATAAATAATATCATCTTCCAACTTACAGCTAAGATACAGTATTTATCTGGGTCTTAACTGTTCTCAGCAATTTTTTATACTTTTCAATACATAGGTCTTACATATTTTTTGTAAAATTTATCCCTAAGTATTTCATATTCTTTATGCTATCATGAGTTTTGAATTTCAATTTCCAATTGTTTGCTGCTAAAAGAGTATATACAAATATAACTAATTTTTGTATATTGACTGAAGCCTTGCTAACCTCTTTTATTAAAGTTCTAGAAGCTTTTTTCATAAAGTAAAACAAGATACTACTACATACCGATGAGAAAACCTACAGTTCAGAAGACTATAACAAAGACCGGCAAGGATGTAGGGGAAGTGAAATTTTTATGCACTAACACTTGGAGTATAAAGTATCACAACTACTGAAAAAAATTACTTATTTCCTAAAAAGTTAAATACACACCTCCCATGTGATCCAGACACTCTACTCCTATGTATTTCTCCAAGAGAAATAAAAACATACAAAGACTTGCATGTGAAAGTTCAGAGTACTTGATCTCTAAATCCCAAAACTAGGAATAACCCACATGTCCATCAACAGATAAGCAACTGTGATATATCAACAGAAAACTTGTTTGCAATAAAAATACATACATAAATAAATAACACATAATAATAAATAATACATACACAAATCCCCTATTGATACACATACTATTGAATTTTCAAATAAGTTGACTGAAAGAAGCTTAACAAAAACACATAGCATATGCATCCATTTATATAAAGTTCTTTAAAGTGGAAACGAATTTACAGTGATAGAAGGTAGCTAAGTAAATCCCCGAGGAGGGATTACCAAGGGATATAAAAAAACTCTGGAGGGTGACAATTAAGGTTCACGATTTTGTTACTGGTGATGCTGCATGTCAAAACTAAGTTATGTATTTTCAATAAATCAGTTTATTATGTGTCATTTAAATCTCAATAAAATCTCCTTGCCTCATTTGTTCCAGGGGACACTGTTTGGGGAGTCATCTCCACTCCCCCCCACCTGCTGCCAGTAATAAACAGTTTTTCATTCTATCTCCTGGTTGTACTTATTGGCTTTGCTCTAACTAAGGGTAAATCCATTGTGTTCAGTTACATGGGGACAACCAGAACCACGTTGATATAGTCTGATAATTTCAGAGCTGTTCCAATCACCAAAATGTCATTTAATGTACATATTGAATTGCAGTGACTGCAAAGTCATTATTTTATTAAAATATTAATTCCAAAACTAGAAAATTTATTTTCCTACTGGCTCATTATTTTTCAATGCCTAGATTGGACAAGACTGAACTACAATGGTAAAAAATTAACAAATGATGCTTTTGAAAATATTACATAGCACATAATCTGTATAACTTTAAAAACTGTAATTAATACATCCACTTCAAGGTAATTCCACCACATTTTCTCAACAACTTTTTAAACATTTAACTATTTATACAAATTCAGGTAGCATACCTGTAATCCCAGCACTCTGGGAGGCTGAGGGTGAAAGAACACAAGGTTTGAGCCCAGACTGGAAAATTTAGCAATTTAGGGAGACCCTGTATAGAAATTTTTTAAAAAATAAGGCTGGGGATATAGCTCAATATGAAGGTCCTGAGTTGAGTACCCAGTACCACACCAAAAAAACAAAACAAAACAAAACAACAACAACAAAAACCCCTCCAGGTAAAGTTTGGAAGGATAATGTGCCTATAGAAGACATCACCATGTGTTTTAGAGCATCTGTATATGTTAAAAGTCATAACAGAAAATGTAGCTACCTTTTAATGATAAACATACAATAAATCTTAGAATAACTTGTAACTATGTAAATAACAGATTTTTGGAACGCAGAAATTAAGAAAGATAGCGCCAAACTACAATACCTAATACTAAGATTTTTACACTATGTTTAGAGCACACTGTAGCTTTAATCACTGCTTTCAAAATTAACTTCTGATATAATATATTCCCAGCATTCTTAATAGAAGTTAGATATATTCCCAATGATGAGCCCAGGCAAAGCCTACATTTGAGCATAACACAACTGAAATGTTGTTGAAGAATGATTTGTGACTGCTACTACATTTCTTTGATCGGTAAAAATATAGCATAAGCATTACAGCATGGCTAATTGAAATATCAAAGACAAAATTCAGAAAGAACACGAAATGCACCTTTTTTCTGATGTTACTTTGGCATAACTATAATACCCTCCAAACACACCACCAAGAGGAAGCAAGTTCTTGATATTTAAGATACGTAAAATCAAAGACCTTCCTAACTTATCAAAGTACAAATACCACTGAATAATATCCACTTCAGAAAAATTTGAGTACCCAGACAAAAGAAGAAAACCACAAAGTCTCATTAAAATACAAACATTAGGCATTTCTATGCATACTCACTAGCTATTCAAAACTTTCCCTGAAAAATAATGAATTGCTACATCATGGGCCCTGTCAGCTTATCAACAGTCAAACCATAAACAATGAACTCTCGAATGTCAAGGGCCTGCTCTAAATGTCTGAGAAAATAATGAACAAATAAAGAAATTTTTTAAATCTAGGCTTAACATCAACACGAGATTTGTCAACTAAAAACCATCACTTTTCTTGGATATTTCTCTTTAAAACAGTGAAAATATCAGATGAAATCCTATGCATGCATATGTCTGACAACTCTATTCCTAGTCACAAAAACTAGAAAGGACGTGCTTCAGCCAGTGACCCAATAAACAATTTACAGTTCAACCACCAAAGAATGGAATTCCAACAAATGACAAGTAACCAACTATTTATTGGTCCATCCACCAACTTGGATAAATTCAAAGGTATTTTGCTGACCACAATCCAGCCAGCCTCATGCACTTTATGATTCCATGTATGCGACAGTCTTTAAAAGGCAAAGCTACAATGATCAAGATCAGTGGTTACCAGGATTAGGGGCAGGGGTGACATGTGATCATGAAGGGATGACCAAATGTGTAGACTGGTATGTGGAAAATAGTTTTCAAAGTAAATAGCCGGGGACCGGGGATTTGGCCCAGTGGTTCCGGCGCCTGCCTCGCAAGCGCAAGGACCTGAGTTCAATCCCCAGTACCAAAAAAAAAAAAAAAAAAAGAAAAGTAAACAGCCGGGGATTCAGCTCGGTGGTTCTGCCGCCTGCCTGGCAAGTGCAAGGACCCGAGTTCAATGCCCGGTACCAAAAAACAAACAAACAAACAAAAAGTAAACGGCATTTCTAAGAAGCCAATTAAGTTTAGCCCCTCTGAAAAGTATAACAATGTTGTACACGGCCAATTTTTAAAAATTTGTTCAGTATTTGTTGATAAAGTCAACCCATCAAGTGACAAAAAAATCTTTAAACTCCTACTAGCTATTTAATCCCAAAAAGACTTACCAAGTTCATTGAGACTCTGAGCAGCTTTTGTTATCTCTCTACTTCCCCCTTGCAGTTGTCCTTGGAGTCTCTTACTGAGATACAAGATGCGAATAATTCTTCGAAGCAAATCACAGGCAACCTGTGCAAGTATCACAATGTCAAATAAGTACAGTTGACCCAGGAAGTTTCATCATTACTACTGTTAATATGTGAATCTTTTCCATTCTTTCCAACTGCTGAAGATCCACTTCTGCCTCTTTTGTTTCCCACCAATCAGAAACCTGAATAATCCCAAGTCTTAAAAAGTATCAAATATCCTAGGAACATCCAACTGTACCATATTTACCCTATACAATAAAGTCCCACTTATTGCAAATGAAGAGAATTTGAAATGGAGACACTATGAAACCCAGGTTCTTTTCACTCCTGGACCAGTTTTCTTCTCTCGGCCAATGGTCCTTCCTCAGTCTTGAAGAAACATTCAATTCAAGTGGGTTAGGTTCAACAAGTTCCCGTGCCCAAGCCATAGCCCTGACCAATTAAATCAGAACCTCAATATCCCAGGGGAAGCCAAGGTTGACAGCCACTGTGCTAGGCTTCTTATTGCTCCCTCCAATCCTATTTCTCTCTTCTAGGCATCTAGGGGAAAAGTCTTAAACATCTCCCAATTTCACCAGTCCTTAAGAAATAACAATGCCTCACTTGAGTTTTCCTAATGGTTTTTATCACTAATAAATTATAAAAGAGAAAGTTATTAAAATAAAACCAAAAAACATTATCCCACATACTGTCCTATCACCAATCATTCACTTTTCTTTCCAACCTCTACTACTGAGGCTTAACCCACCCAAAGGCTAAACAATAAAGATTCATATATGCCATTACTTTGGAAAGAGTGAATAGAAGGATAGGCAGAATAAGCAATATATAGGGACCTTAACCCTCGGCAGTGATGAGAAAGGAAAGAAAAAGTTCATGCTACCGCATCACTATTTTGGGGGTGGGGTTTAGTTTATTAGTGCATGTGTGTAGTTCATAATGCTCACATTCCTGGTGGGAAATTGGTACGTGTACACACTACAGCTTAATCCCCTACCTCCTCCCCTCTGCACCCAGGCATCATCATTTTTGAATGGCCCCAAAGCAAGCTGACAAGCAAGGATATCTTCCCATCTAAGTAAGACTATCCTCAATGGTGGCACTAAGAATTAAAAATGCTTGGAACACAAAGTCCTGGAGCCTCTAGCTATAAGTACTCATATGAGAAAATATGTAACACAGAAGAGCCACAGGCACACTCATGCACCCTAAGCTGCAGCATGCACACCAAAGCGTACAATGTGTACCAACATATGTAAGTCACAAGAACCAAGTATTAAACATGTGCACTTGACTCCTTTTCAAAGTAAATGTGAAGTACTTAAAATAGTAAAAGAATCCCAAATAAAAATTTCTCCCTGGAAATTAAAGTTTGGGCATCTTTATTTTTCAATCAAGTGTTACTTATTTTCTGAATAGATGATATAAGCACAATTTAAAATTCAAGGTATAAAATTGAAAAGTCACCCTTATCTTTCTATTTTCCAACTATGCAGTTAACAGCTAATCTACTAGCAACCACTCGTGAGAGTCATAATATATTGTGAGGAAAAATACCAAACATTACACGAAATTAGCCACCACTGTCCTAGAATTCCTCAGTCCCACCTAATGAGAGCCCTCAAACAGGAAATTTTTGAATTCATTTCTAATGTTTTTATTTTTAACAATCATGCTTAATATTTCAACAAGCCTCACTGACTTTCTATTGTATAACATAACCTATTGTTACTTTACCTTTATTCCTACAAGCCATCACCCTAATCCAATCCTTTCTCGCTTCCACCTAGCACAGTTGTATCATGCCTAGCTTCCAGATGCTCACTGAAACACGTCAGATTTTATCTTCTTAAAACATTTTCAGCATGCCACCCATCTTATTAATAAACTTTGGCGACTTTACTTACAGATTCTGTTAACTGTTTTAAGAATAGCATTTAATAAAATGCATAGTCAAAAAGTCTTAGCTAAGGGGCTGGGGAGTTAGTTCAGTGGTTCCGCCACCTGCCTCTCAAGCTCAAGGACCCAAGTTTGATCTCCACTACCAAAAAAAAAAAAAGTCTTAGCTAATCTGAGTCATTAAATCTCATCATTTTCCAATACAGTTGCCGCCCCTCCAATCAACTTTTTCTTTCTTTTCTTTTAGTCTTTCATTAAATTACAGAAACAGAGAAAACCACATTCTGAGATATACAGATCCATGAACTTGGAACTAACAAAAAAGGAGACAGAACTGTGCCAGCCATCACACAAGCCTTCCGTGCACTCCCTCCCCACCCCATCCAAGAGAAACCACTATTCTCCCTTATACCGTAATCACCGCCTTATTTTTTATGGTGTGAGTATTACAGTTTAATTTTGTCCTTTTTAAACCTATAAGTTTCCCCACCAGCTTTTCTTCTTTGCAATTTGTTGCAAACAGTGACTCATCTGTCCTACAAGAGTTTCCATCCAACTTGATTTTGTTGTCTATACTCCCATCACACAGTTCATTTAACAAGTTTCTATGTCTTCTACGTTTCCAATAAATTAGCAGCAGGAAGTAGGCAGCTTTATCAGATTCATATTTAATGTTTTTGGCAAGATTAATCATTAGGTGGTGGTACGTTTATAACACACGCAGGATTTTTTCATATTATTAGCAGCCCTTGATATTAAATGTCAAAATCCATTAAAACCTAAGCAACTGTAAAATGGTGATACTGTAATTCTACTGCTTCATCTTCATTCACTTTTTTTTTTTTTTTTTTAGTACCGGGGATTGAACTCGGGTCCTTGCGCTTGCGAGGCAGGCAGTGGAACTACTGAGCTAAATCCCTGGCCCTTTATTCATTTCTTAACACATAAAATTTCTCCATAAAAAGAAATTTTACCTCACCTGAGGGTATTCGTTTACCCTCAGAGGTACTATTCATAAAGTAAGAATAATATTTGATCTTCCTCTTGGTTTAACAGTTTTCTAATGTTCACTAATGATGAACAATTAGTGGGGTTTTGTTATTGTTTTGAGTTTTTCTCTCCATCATTATGAACTCATAGATTTAAACATAATGAGGACTGTCAACTTGCTGTAGCTCTTATCCTTACTCATGCTCAAATTATCCCATTTTGGCTAGTGGGAGCCTCAGAGTCATCAACTTCATGAAATAAATTCTCACAATTCACAACTTTCAGGGATAAGAGAGTTGGTCACCTTCAAAGGGCATCTTCAAAGTAATTCCTGGATCCTAGTAGTCATTGGTATCTTCCTTACTATCTGGTATAAAAATGTTTCAACACATTTCATACACCAGACACAGAAGCAAAGATTTCTCAAAGAAGTTCTGGTTTCGTTTGGGAGGAAACTGCACTTCAAGACCACATTTTGGTAGCCAGTTTTGTTCATTCCTGGGATTTTTCCACAGACATAGCTAAGAAATGTCAGAATTAATTAAAATATGGCACATTCACACACAAAACATTCTCAGATTAACCCATTATACATATACATATGCACATATATACGGTTTCTACTATCTTAAAATGAAATTAATGTATTTGAAGTTCATATTGATACATCCAATTAAAAACAAAGCAGTGTTTATTTAACCTTTTATCTTACATCTGTATATCATCTTCTACACTCTCGTGAAGGCATGAGATAAAAGAATTAGAGTAATATGAAATAATTTGTTTGTTCTGCCGTACAATACACAGAAAACATCTAACAAAACCAACATTACAATAAAAAGTATGATTGCTGACAGTAGCTTAAAATCACTTTGCATATGCTTACACCACATTTTTTTTTACAGTCTGTCAAAACAGTCATTGCATACTTTAGGACCCTCATTTAATCCTAGTTCTAATGCTCATCACAAACTTTTAAAATGGTATTTCTCTATTTGAGTTGTGTGAAGTACAATGTCTATTAGATTCCAAAGGAAAAGTTCATTAGAACATTCCCTGTATTCATCTATGGTCACAGAAGTCTATACTTGAAAATGCTTGGATGGTAATATCAATTATATTATCATTATTGCTGCACAAGAAATCAGCTGGAAAAAAATATATTTCACACTCCACGTGTCAAGAATTGAGGGAAGGGTCAAATGGCCCATGTGATGCCACCTGGAACCACTTTTTCTCTATTCTCAGCTAAGAACTGGGCTGCTGCATGGTATAAGAAGGCTTTGTCCTTGTCAGCTCCATGTAGGTAGCTGAGGGCTCCTCCTAGTGAACAGGGAACATGTTTCTCTGTAGTTAGAGCCAAACCTACTGATGGAAAAATTTTCCCCCATTCCCTCCACCTGTCCGGGCTTCTTCTCATGCATCTCAGGAATTTCTTTTGTTCTCAGTTTTATTACTTGTCTCCCCAACAAATGTAAACCGTTGTGCACTGAGCCTGTTGTCTGTAACACCTGACAACCGGTGAAGGTGCTGGGCCCTGATGACTTGTGCTCTCTGTAACCAATGTAAAGTGCTCAACTCCTGCAAGCCCGCCCCCTCTCAAGAGTATAACTTGCCCTGCTCCACCCCAAAGGCAGGTCAGTCTCTTTGTGGACAAGTCCCAGACTGACCCACTGGAGTTAAAAATAAAACTGTACACTTTGCCTCCAAAACTTCTGGGTGCATCTTCCATTCTCCCGGACTACCTGTCTGTATGTTCTGGCTGGTGCTCTGCCCTTACATTAGCATGGCAGCCCCAAGGTAGCTGAGCTTTTTACATGGACAGTAGCTTTCATAGCACAGAAATAAAGCCTGCTGTGCCTCTTAAAGGCCCTAGGCCTTGGCCTCCGAGCAAGGAGAACAGGAGGAGCCGAGTTGCGTGGAGCTGAGCTGTGTGGGCTGCTATTAGCACCACCCTCCACCCCAGGGGAGGAGCTGAACCGACAGGCACCTGCACCCCCCCTTCCCAGACCAACCCCCCCCACCCCAGCCTCTGGCCTGTGGACTGCACTGGCACCTGGATCCACACCGCAGAGGCACAGGGGGTCATGAGGGCCATTGTCCTGAGCTCCAGAAGATAAGAGCAGAAGTGAACAACAGAGAGGGCCTCTC